CAACTATTGAATTTTTATACATATACGAGGAGCATAAACATACATTATAGCGATATTTTCTTTTCAAATGGCGGGCTGTAGCCGTTTATAGACGTTGGCCACTTTTAAGTTCGGAAGCTGTGATCTTTTTATTGTAGGGCACCTAATAGTCGGGCTATCGTTGTTTCCTATGAAGGGAAGGATAACCTACACCAAAGGCTTCTCCGAGATATGAGCCCCGGGGCGTTTGGCCCTCCAGTCAGAATCGCTAACCGCTTTCTCGTCTAAGCGGCCTATAACGATATATACTTATAGCGATTTAAAGCGTAAAGCATCCATCCATCTCCAGGTTACAAATATGTGTTTCATATTATTAGGAAAGTGTTTAGCTTATGTAAGATATATGTAAAATTATATTTATGATAAAAATACATAGATCAGTTTTGTAATTTAATTTAATAATAGCCTCTTAATTCCTCATTTTTAATCTGGATATTTCTCCTTTAGTCTAAAAAATTGATAACATTTCTGGACTGCGTCATTTCTAGATAAATCTATGCCAGAGCCTGCGTAATGCTTAATGACGAAATTGATTCAGAATTTAAACCCTGAGAATTGAAACTAACGTAAACCAAACTAACTTTTGTTTGTATCTCTGTCGCTATTTGCAGGCCATTTCGCTCTGCTCTCTTCCTAACGCAGAAGTATTCAAAAATGTAAATGTTGTGGAAATATGGACGATTGGAGTGCCATGGGAAATGTGGCCACAAATTTCAATTTAAATGAAAATGGAATTTAATCTGCCTCCACTGCATAGTTCCCTATTCATTATCGGATTAGCATTCTACGCAATCAATATTCTTCCTTTTCCGTACTCTATCTACGTGCTTCATCATCAGAATGCCTGCAATTCTACGCCTCACTGTTCCTACATCAGTTGTTCCCTAAATTTTTTTTATCATATTCCATATATATAATTTACAGCACAGAACTCGAACAGTCTCTAGCTTACACATATAAAAAAAAAACATTCCTAAGACCACAAACAGTCTGTAAATTTAATCATTAAAGCAATTAGATCTCTGAAAGTATTCTTATTTTTTAATTACTGCTTCCATTTCCCGTCAAAACATTCTCATTATCACGGACAGCTATAGCCTCTTATTTTATAATAGACACTTTGTAGAGTCATTAAGTTAATTGGAAGCTGGAGAGATGAAATATATGCAACCGCCTTCGCCGGGAATCGAACCACGGACCTATGGAATACCGGCCCAGCGTGCTACCGTTCACCACGAAGGCACGCTAGGGAAGGGGAGAAATACCTTATATATTCCCCTTTTTAAAGGGCGACTAGGGTTTTGTCGCATTTTTAAAGGTCGACCTAGTCGCCAAATCCTGGGTGCGGAGGATCATCATCGACAACTCTTTTAGTTCGGGCGCCACTTGTAGAGTTATTAGGTTAATTGGAAACCGGAGAGATGAAAAGTATGCAACCGCCTTCACCGGGAATCGAACCACGGACCTCTGGAATACCGGCCCAGCGTGCTAACGTTACACCACGAAGGCACGCTAGGGAAGTGAGAGAAATACCTTATAACTTCAGAGACGTTTTTCCTATAACTCCTGTTTCATAAGCATGGCAAAGATTGCTGCAAAGTAGAATGTTAAAATCTCCTCATTTTCTCTGTACCGGGATGGCTATATACGTTACAATTGTAAATGAGGCAAGGACTGTTACGACCTTCAAGTGAACATGTTAATATATAAAAAACTATAGCAGCATATGACATCAAAAGCAACGAGCATATTCTCAAACAACAAAGAAACTCAATATTCTTCAGTTTAATCTTTAGAAAAAAGAAGCTTTGGCGACCCTGTATGCTTAAAATACGGAAACGCCCGTCCCCGTCCACAACAGTACTGTTTGTTTCCTCCCCTCCCTGTCCATTAACGCACAAAGAGGTGTGAAGATTTAAAATGACATCCTTTCTACTTCTTAACAAAGAAGCTTCCATTAGCCTTTTAGGAAAAGCTAGTTACGATAAATTGATACAATTCATTTTGGAATATTGCACCTGCTACTGCATACTTTATGGATATGGATATGGAGAAGTGTGGTGGACACCCATTAACCATTGGCAATGTGGGTGTTGTCCAGCCACAAGGGACGGAAAAAACAACATCGCAATCTCTGTCTTTTCAAGAGTTGCGATCGTTGGAATGAAAGGCTGTCTCGGGAGATTTGGCATTCCAAGGGTTAAGCTTTAATTAAGAAAAATTAATATTTATATATAATTCTCGCCAAAGTGATGTTTGCGTAAAACTTCTTCATTGGACGATTTATTTTGACAGAGGCGTTCCTGAATACAGCATTTTAACACTTAATAGTTTGAAAAGCAAGTAATTGGCTCAATTAAGTAGACAAAGCTTCATTTTCCTATCTTGGTTATTCTACACAATTTTTGGAACGATTTATTTCCGTATTTTGAAATCAAAAGTTAGATAATCGTGTTAATAATAAAAAAATATGGTTATCAACTTAAAATACCAGGAGATTATGAGATGACTGCCATTTTTAAAACCTCTCAACGTTTTCTGAAGTGGTGGTCATCTGCTAAACTTGGGTAATTACTAACAGCATTAAGTAGCATACGAATAAGATGAGTCGTGATAGAAGTAAGGAAGAATAAGATATATTTTAGATTTCTCTAGGATTTTCTCTGAATTTTCACAATACTAGGCAGAATTTGAGTCAAGCTTCTTGAAGATACTCATTTCGGTTTTAAACTTATTATTAAAAAATTTCATTTCTGTACAGAGCAACTGCTACCTCGACATCTGATTTCTGCTAAGTCGGATCTAGTCCTTTTAGAGGTGACTCAAAACAAAGAAATCCTTAAGCTACATTATTTACGTTAATAAACGTTTGAAAGCAAGTGCAGGAAAAGTAATTTACTGTACAGTATACCAACTTTAAATTTAAGAAAAATATATATAAGCCAAGCTTCTGGTTTGCCAGTGTTACCCACTTTTATAGCTTCGACTGTATTAACTTCCATGCTGGTGTGTGTGTGTTTGATTACGGCAAAGCCTCGAGGGCTAGCTGCCTAAGGGTAGAGATGCCTTCGTGGAGGATTTTCTAAGTAAATCTCGCTCGTATACACGTGGGGAAAACCACGAAAATGACCATGCAGCCAGCCTGTTCGTGGGACTCGAACCTCGGAACGAACTACCAGTGTTCAGCGACTTTGCCTCTCGGCCTCTAATGGGCCAACTTCCATGCTGGCTAAAGAGTGCTAAGAAACACCGAAGTTATGTGTGCACACTCAGAAAAAAAACCTTCCTCTTATCTGGCAAAAATGTAGTCATTTTTACAGTTCATTCAGACGCTCCAATTAGTGCTACTTACTTATTATCCCATCGACTGTTGGTGGAAATTTCGGCAACGGTTGCCATTCGCCAATCATTACCGCGGAATTCTGAAGGACACGGTTATCCATAATTAAAAGAATGTTTAAAATAATAAACGATTTCTCTGCTTTGTACCTCGGTATTAAACGACAGAAAACTATAATAAAGAGCTTAATTATAAATTTAAACACCAAAAAGCTAAGATAATTTCATGTCAGGATAAAACTTTGAACGACTTGAAGAAAATCAGTTATTATATAATACTGCTTCAAAGAATTTTCAAGCAGATTACTTCAATGAAGGCAAAAATCTGCATTATCATTTTTAAAAAAATTAAGTCGAACTCAGCACAGTTAAAATTCTAAAGACTTTTGTAGACACAAAGCTCATGTTTCAGATATATCAAACACACTGCCCGCCAAATATGACAATTTATTGTCTGGTATGGTAACAATGTGATTTTGGCGAGATTTTATTTCGTACAGCAAGCCATTTCACCAGTTTAGGCGTATCTGTGTATTTTTATTTGGATATTTTTCTTATTTCAGCAGCTCATTTTGTCAAAACTGATTTTTTTTTACGTTTTTAAGAAGATTTTTAATGTTCTTTTTGCCTTTTTTCGAACGATGAGTGCACTTTTTTACGTTGTTTTAATAATTTTTGTTTAAATTTCGCACTTAAGGCTTAACACGTCTCAGAAAACCTTGCCAAACAATTTTGGCCATAACGTTTTGCCAACACAATGCATCTGGAACATCTGTTTCAAATATTTTCCAGAAGCATGATAGTTCTCAATGATAAATATTTTCTGCGTCTTTCATTCAACTCAGTTGGAGCTAAGGCAATATTTCTCCGAACACCAACTACAAGACCTTGATCAATCTCAAATAGATAGTTATAATCAACCGATTGGATGCTACAGTACTCGTCAGGAAAAGATATCTATTATAAAGATCTCAAAGGTTAAAATGTGTGTGTGTATTTAATTATGGCAAAGCACACTAGGGCTATCTGCCTAAGGGGAGGGATGCCTTCGTGGAGGACTTTTTAAGGGAAACTGGCTCGTATACACGTTACACATGGGGAAAACCACGAAAACACCCATGCAGCCAGCCCGTTCGCGGGATTCGAACCTCGGACCGAACTACCAGTGTTCAGTGACTTTACCGCTCGGCCGCTGGTGGGCACCTCAAAGGTTAAAAAACATCATCAGAGAGCTACCATCAATTAGAAATTAGCCTCAGCTGTGCATATGAAGAATATTCAACATTTAATGAATAAATTTATATTTTAGTTTATTCTTATTTTGAGGATCATGTTATCATGAACACTTTACTGCCAAGAAATTCAATATTGAATGGTTTGGTACTTACGTATTATCCCGACGGCCGGTGGAGTAGTGCAATTTAGCTCCAATTATGGATCATAGTGTCTTTTAGAATTCCGCGGTAACGATTGGTGATCGCCGATTATCTCGGAAATTTCAGCCAAAAGTCGATGGGATAATATAAGTAAGTACCAATGGCTTCAATACTAGTTAATTAAAATTTCCTCATATCCTACCTTTCACAAAATGATAGTTATTCGGTGTTCGCCCCCCTTTTTTTATTATTATTATTATTATTATTTTGGAATATGATCTTTGACTCGACAGAAAATCTGCCTTCATTCTAGAATATTTTCCGTTTAAGAAAAAATTACTTTTCTAAAGTTTCTTGTCGAATGTTTAAAATTATGTTTACGCAGAAGCAAATGACTTTTCGTCTTGAATTCATTTTATAAACATTTAAAATTTTGAAAATTATTTTATGAAACAAATTGAACTAATAAAGTTTTTAACCAAAATGAAATGTTTTCTTCCTTTCTTTTTAGATAAATTAACACTCAATTTTACTACATATACATACGTTGCTTTACTTATAAATCTTTAGCATTAAGGCTAATGTTTATCACTACACAAATTTGTGAGTTCGTAAGTCAATTAACCTAATTTTAAAGATGAATAACTTTTGTTGTTCAGTATCTCACTGAAGTAATTAAAGCAAATACGTGTAAATTCCTACTAGTTACTTTTACAGTAATTACCATTTTTTCATTATATACACAATAACTAAGAACATAAATGTTACAAATAATGCTATGGAAGTATATAAAATAATTCTGGATTTGAAATTTGATATAGATGTGTCTCCGCCCGTAGTTTGATTTTTCTCTGTGATGTAGCAGGCGATTGAACTATTTGGACGAATTTCATCAGAAAAATCACCACAATTATTGTAACTGTCACATTTCAGATCTTTCCAAACACAGAACCTGTTGGTGCATTTGAATGCATCGTTTCCGCAAGGTTCATTATGAACAACAGTGAACACAATCTTCAAATATGGTGGCAGAAGTTGGGCTACACTCAGTACGAAACTGACAGTTACCATTTCGTTGTAGAATATAAGTGTATTGAATTCAAAATCAGTCTTATCAACTGCTTTACAGAAAGTCTTTTCCTTCGATTGGCTGATGAATTTCAAGTAATTTTGACATGTACTGTGCACAGTTAGTCTTTCGATGCTTAAAACAATATGATGTCCTTCAGGTCTCATCAACTTCACTGTGCAGTTGGCAACAAATGGTGGAGGTGAAAATGAAAGAAGACCAGTAGAATTAAGACCTTTACCAGCAATTTGGATTTTATCAGTGCTAGCATTCTGTAGAGCCCACAGATCATATTCTGTATAACCTTCAGCGTAATACTTTATTTTACTCGAACAGATTATCCAGGTTATCAAAAAGATATAAACTTTGCACATATATCAAATGTTGAACGTTTAACTTTCAATTTTTAAAGCTCTTAGGCAGTTCATTAACAATGATGCCAATCTCTCATTACTAATTTAAGGGAATATTTTTGGAAAACAGTTCATTGAAAAATGTATTATATTATTTAAATATTGTTTTTGATCCTGCCTAATATTTTAATTTTAGTAACTCTATATATTATGTTTATTTTTATTATAACGCCAAGATTATTCATATAAATCCAACAAATGATTTTTGATTGCGATAAATTCAACATTGAAATAATAAACTGAATAGACTAGAATAGATATTACACTTAAATAATTTAGATTAATAGATAAACTGAATATTACACCTAGCATTTTTGACAAAATAACGGTTTCTCTTTTTACGGTATGATTTGCGTCTGCTGTTTGGCAACATTCGCTTTTTCTGCGACTTGTCTCTCTCGCGTGGCAGCTTAAAAAATACCCTATATTAATAGGAATATAAATATTCTATTATTAATTTCTCTTAAAATGTTTAATTTTGCGTTTTCTCAATTAACTAATGTTCAATTTAAACTTATGTGTTCATTTCTAAAATACAGACTCACTGCCATACCTCATAGTTAAATATATCAGTAAAATTATTTAAGCAACCCCAAAAACTATAATCATAAGATAACCTATTTATTATATAAAAGGTTTTAGTTTTTTATACTCAGAGCAAAATTAAGGAAATGGTACTCAGCATAATTAATAAATAAATATTTTATGTACGTTACTTCAAAGCTATTGAAGATGAAAACATGTACCCTGTGCAAAGGGAAAAAATAGGACAGTTCTATAGCTCTGGCTCTACTATGCCGATTGACAAAATTTAACTTGCGTTTTTCATGTCTCGAAAGCGCGACTTAGAATAGATATTAGATTTATATATAGCATTGTTCTAATATAGGTATTCTGACATAAAATCGGACTTTCTCTGGAATGACATACCAATTTTATTCCATAGTTCGATTCTATAATTCAAATTACGCCAAACTACCAAGTTTTGTAAAAAAATCGCATGTTTCAAAATAAGTTTTGTAATTTTTTCAAACAAAAATTAATTATAATCTATAAACATTTTACCATCACTTTAACCCTTTGCCGCACATTGTGTCCGGTCTGGACACACCTAAAACTTTCCTTCTGTTAGCACAAAAAAATTAAATGCAAAAGGATTTATAGGTTACTCTGAACCTTCTTTATTTATAGTAGATGGCAGCTCAACGCAAACCAGTCCATATATTTTAGCCATGTTTAGTTTTTTAAGACCCTCATTTTTCAAAGAAAACTTCCAGATTTTTTTAGAGTATAAAAAGAATTGCTGAAAAGGAATTTCTATGTTTTTTTTTTTTTGGCTGTATGCTAATCTCCTTATTCTATATTATTTTTAAATGTTTACCTTGAAATCTTGCCTAAATTCAAACGGCGAGCCCTAGGTGTGCCCAGTTCGAGCTCACCGATCAACTGAGAGTCTGTATTCTTTGTTTCTCCGCGTCTCATCGGTCAATTCATTGACAACAATGCTCGTTTCAGCACTCTTTTCGAAGCTCTATTCAATCAGTGTGCCACTTTGGGCACACCCACAGAATTAAAATGATAAGTGCTATCTTCACAAAAATTTACTTGTGTACTACTCTAGGCCTAATTAGACTGCCTACCTTTATTTATTTATTTATTTATTTATTTATTTATTGTCAAAACTCCGACTTTAAAAGGTAGCGTGCCGGAAAAGGTTAACGTAGACATATTTCTAAGCATACCTGCAGAAAATATAGTTTTTTTTTATTCAGAATTTCCGAAGATATACGTGAATTTATATATTTGCGCGTTTTGAAATTGGGCATATTTGTTGAAAACGATAAAAAATCAGATGTGGTTTAGACACTTTGCTAAAATTATTTGAAAGTCGGAACGAAATGTCTTTTTAACCGCTCCTGCATAATAGAGAGGAAAGAAAATTTGGTTGATATATATTAAGAAGTTTGCCAAGTGAATTATTCTTGGAGCAAACTAAAGAAACGGACCTAGATAAATTTTTGAATTTCTCCGCAAATTTCGCACCAAATTTTACAAAACTTTATAAACTTAATAAGCATAATTTGAGTCGTAGAATCGAAATATGGAAAAAATTGGTATGTTATTTCAGAAAGTCTGATTTTGTTTCAAAATACCTATATTAGAACAATGCTATATATAAATCTAATACATATCCTAAGTCGCGCTTTCCAGACATGAAAAACGACAAGTTGAATTTCGTTAATCGGTCCAGTAGAATGGGAGATGTAGAATTTTTTTTTCCTGTCCAGTGTACTTTTGCCTCTTTCAATTCAAATGATAAGCCGCCAAGAATAATTCTAATATTTGTATGAAGGAACGCAATATTATATATCACGCGTATTGAGTTTCCTAATTTATTTTTTAACTTCACAACAACTAGGAGCTAGAAAACTTCAGTTCGTCAAAATCATGCTCTGAGAAAGCATATGTAACGCAAAATTAGACACTGCCAATTCTTTTTATGAACATTTGTCATATAGTATGTCATATAGTATGTACTTGCGTTAATTCAAACTAGAATGTCTATGAAATAAGACATTAATTAATACTTCAAATTAGGCAAACTGGTAGCTTTATATTGACATGAATTTTAAATAAAACTCTATCGATTTCGGGGGCGATCAAACACAGATCCCTCTTCTGCAGCAGCAAAAGAAAAAAAAAATCTGCTAAAGATCAGGGACCTTGTTTGCCCTCAAAATCGATAGACTTTTATTTTAAATATACGCCAAAGTAAGGTTACTGTTTTTCGTAATTTTTAAGATTTACTTTTATGCGAGTTATTCTTCCTATTTGAAAAATACACTCATGTACATAAATTAAGGATAATGCAAAATCAGGCAAAGGAAGTGTTAGAAGCAAAACAAATTTGACTTATTTGTAAAGCTTCTTTATTAAACAAAAGGTAAAGAGCAAAAAAAAAGATGCTATATGTTTGATATTATTAAAAAAATTAGCGATTTTTTTCTCCTTGGAGCAAATTACAAAAAAGATCTATTTAAAAAAAATCAATATTACATGGTTGGTATGATTGTTAATACATTATATGTCTCCCAGACGATGCAATACAGTCCGTACAACACCTAGGCATGCTGAGTACCAAATTATCGATCTGATCTTGGAGGATATTACACCACTCAAAAAGCAATGCTCTCCGAAGTTCCGGTAGACATGTAGGAGGAGGTTGACGGTCTGCAACTCGTCGGCCATGCACATCCCACACGTGCTCTACTGGATTCAAGTCCGGTGAGAATGCTGGCCAGTCCATACGGATGATATCCTCCGATTGAAGGCATTCGCTTACTATGTTTACACGGTGAGAACGGGTGTCGCCATCCATAAACACAAATTGTGCGCCCATGGCGCCCCGAAACAAACGTACATGTTGTTCCAGAATGACGTCCCGATAGATTTGGCGTGTCATGGTTCCAATTTGAATGTGCAGGTCAGTTCTGGTATCCAGAATAATTCCACCCCAAACGAGCACTCCTGCACCACCGCAACGGTGTTGTTCAATGATGTTTTCTTGGTGGTAACGGGTACCTGGAGCTCTCCATATGAACGTCCGACGAGAATCAGACTCCAAGCTAAACCTGGACTCGTCGGAAAACATCACACAAGCCCATTGTTGCGGTGTGCACAACGCATGCTCTCTACTCCAGGCTAACCGCAGGCGACAGTGAGTTGCAGTAACTGGAACGCATTTGTCAGGTCTACGAGCATATAGACCAATCTGCCCTAAGCGTCTGTACACGGTGTGCCTTGAAATTGTCGTATCAGTGGCTGAAGAGAGCTGAGGTAACTGGTCTGAGGCTGTGCTCCGCCTGTTTCTTTTGGCAGTAACTGCCAAATACCGGTCCTCATTCGGAGTTGTAACGCTGGGGCGACCTGTGCTGTAACATCTACTCACATTACCATCATCTTGGAATCGTTGCCAAAGCCTGGAGATGACACTCTGGGCAATTATAAGTTCGTCTGATACTTCCAGTTGGGTACGCCCACATTCCGGATGGCCGATAATTCTACCACGTAAAAAATCATCCAAATGCGTCCTTTGTGTCATAACCATTCGGTTATTGCACTGAAATGCTTATAAAGCGCATGCGAACAATTTTACTTCTTTGCCTGTATTCCTTATATATCACTCTCTTACACTCTCGTCATTGTGGCGTAACATCGGTGTCATCTGGTTACTTCCTGAAATTTGCATATGATTCTTGAAGATGTGTGTAGTGATTTTACAGGTGATATATTTGTTTTAGATTTCGATTTCCGCGTGACTCCGAATTATCCTTAATTTATGGACATGAGTGTACAATAGTAATAATAACATTGTTTCATTACGAATTGTTATAAAGATTCTATTCACAATAGCATGAACTTCTTATCTTTGCTTTTGTGACATAAAACATACACATAAAATTATTTATTTATCAATCAAACATATATTTGGGTGAACTATATTGGTTTCAGAACCTTAAAGGAGAAGTAAGTATGAAAATATGAAACTATTACAAGTACATTTGTCGACTAATTCCACCTAAGGAATAAATGTTTGTCAAAGTTGGAATTCACACAAAATTTTTCAGTACTATTCGGTTTCGAGGACCGTCAAAAAATTGCAGCGAAAATGTACGCGCAAAAGCGCCAAATCCAGCAAACGCGCTCGTTTAACAGCCCGCCAAATCTAGCGTACGCGCTGATTTCAGATTGCGTAAGTTTATATAGTTCTATATTTCTTAAGACGCCATTGAAATACTAGTTTAATTTTTAAATCCTTTCTTGATTTTAAATCCTTTTTTGATATCCTATGGATTTAACAATTTGGGAATTGCCCATGACGAAAAGTCGGCAATAGAATTTTGGGTAAAGTGCAGAATCATCCACTTCTTGACGCGTTTTTAAGAATTGCACATACTCGGTATCCATGTGCACATCTACCTATTTTCA